TGGTTGGGGGGGGGGGGAGCACGCAAATACAAAAATATACCGCTAGACGAGCAGCATACCGGTGGTATGCATAGAACTATCCATCGGCAGGTCTTACGCACCCGTCGGCCCTCGCCATACAAAGTTGCATGCACACGTCCCGTAAGAAAGATTTTCGAGCGCGAAGACGAAAGCATACGGTACAATATTGACAAGCAGTCTTCGTCCCTTCCACCACCAGTTGTTGTTGTTGTCTTTAACATTAAAAACCGTTCCGATCTCTCTCTACCCAGTATAAAAAAAGTTAAAAGCTTCCGCCCCCACGCAATTGATTGCCGCCGTGTGCTTAGGCCGCACAAGCACACACACTGCTGCGTGAACAGATTATAAAAAGCTCGACCACTCTGCAGCGGAAACGCTGGCGGTGCCGAACATGGCGGCGTTGGTATCCTCTTTTCGAGAGTTTTCCGACACAAGATGTCGACGACTGCGGTGAAATGGGATCTAGACTATCTCTGTTGTGGCCAGAGCAGTCACGCTATGATAATCTGGCCAACGGGCAAGCGACCTACGGTGTGTGTACTGCGGGTACCCCAGCCGCCCAGTCGAAAAGTTCCAGTTCGGGTTGGACACCGTGGCAAGTAGGTGTGTGTGTGCGTATTACAAAGTTTGGCGCTATGGCAACATGCACGAAAAACGACGTGATGAATGCATACGTCACGACAGAAAAGAGGGAAAGAGTTTTTGAAGAAATAATGATGGGAGGGGGGAGTTGGGCACGGGCACGCTACACACGGTGCACACCGCGGAACTCCCCCCCCTTCGGCCGGACACACACACCCAAGCCAGTTTCCCTCTGACTCAAAAATTTCGTGTGAAAAGAAGGAAGACGTCGTCCTCCACAGACAGAAGTGGGTTGTTGGCAGATTGAAGAAATAATCCTTGACGATGAGGAGCCTCCACAAACATTGACGTCCATTCATCACGTGGCTACTACAGTCGTGCCCATTGACAGGCAGCAGTTAGTTGCAGATGCGCAGTGGGAGGTATACGATAGCATGAAGAATGCGTGTATACACTAATTTCTAACAGTCATCATCAGCATCGATCTAATGCACGCGAAAACAGGAAACTGCTGGGCACTTCAAGGACGCGTCCTCAGCCTTCTGCGTATGATTACGATATATTTCATCCAAAGGATCACGCTGAATGTGCTCCATATCAACCACCAAGAAGGCGAGTGTTGGAAGCACCACGAGTCGGGGGGACACAGAGGGCCATACGCAGACCACAGACAGACAGATGTTCCTGCGGTGGTGTGATGCCCACGACACAGCGGATAAACCTGATATAAAGCAGGAGGCGCAAACAATCACATTCACAAGTCAACTTTTACGCGATGTCACATGTCGCTTTCCCTCTCGACATGGAAGGAAAAAAAACGCTGGTTCAAGCACAAGTCTTCAACAAGCCAAGTTTCTGCGGTGCAACTATTTCCGCGTGTTGCCGCGCAGTGTTGTAAAAAAAAAACTCTCACCAGTCGGTACACCCCAATCTGCAGAGTATCGCACCTAACCGGCCCCTCTTCCGAACTCCCCCCCTGCGCGTTGTGATGGACTCCACCTTTGTGATCCCTAATCATTCGCATGGGTCCTCAGCTACACGGACGCATGCATGTTTATGTATGAGCTCGTACGCCTTCCGTCATTGCATGGTTCTGAGCATGGCCAACTAATTCAGATGATCGGCACCCCCCTCCCAACAATCTCTCTCTCTCTCTCTCTCTCTCGTCCTCTTTCTCCACAATAATATGTTGCCTGCCGCGATCCTCAGCCGTGAGCTCGTGCAATGTACACTAAAAATGCGCTGCCTCGCCATATATCCAACCCACCGTACACGTCGTGCCTACAAATACTATTTCAAGAAGGAAAGCAGCAAAGTCTCACTACGGAAACAAGGGCTGCAACAGCGCGCTCCTTAAACCCATCTCTATACCTCAGCTAACAATCTACTTACGAAATTTTAGGGCTCGCCCACTTGTCGACCTGCCGACGCTAAGAGACTTGTCAAGTGTCCTCCACAGCAGCAATCAGTCAAGCCTCAAAAATAACAGCCACATGCAGCGAACCATCCAAAAAATGAAAAATACACCAATGAACGAACGATAAAGGGCGACGTGGGGAGACCATCAATATTCGCGTCCCCACCATGTAAGAAACAAATAGTATCATCACTTGCTGTGTGGTGGCACAGCAGCCTGGTCTACCCAGGCTGGCTACTTCTACTGGGGTGGGCGCCCCAACGTGACTATATCTTGCGCCCCGAGCCCACAAAATTGGGGGGATTTTAACACGCACTCTCACTGGCAACTCAGTAACTCAAGAATGTTCCAGGCAATTAAGCTCCGAAAATTTTCAAGGTCGTTTCTAGTAGATAGAGGCACTGAAAAAGATGCATACGAGTACACCCAGACACACACGCCAAAACAATGGATGAACCGCGGGGAATCCCTACGCGATACGTGATGAAAGCACAACAAAACAAACATCAACACGCTTAAGGGAGAGAAAGTGCGCGTGTGCATGCGTAAGATGGAGTGAATTGATCGCCACGAGCAATGCGCCGAGCATTGCTGCCGCGCGACGCTCCGAGCCACAGCTGCCACAGGCGAAGGGCAACGACAAGATTATCACTGCAATCAAGCAAGCCGTGTGGCAGACTGACCATCGAGTGCAACTATCTCGAAAGCCGGGAAAAGCAACATTAGGGTGTAGAAGGAAAAACGCACCGAATGCTAGCCGCACTACATAGGTGCCTCGTTCCTCGGCGCAACCCCGAGCACGACAACGGACACGCTAGCTAGATCTAGCAGCACAGCTGTGCAAAGCGCTATTTTATGCTGTCGGAAGATCCCGGCGACAAGAACATCCCGTTTGGTTTCCAATGTCCAACCCCCCCCCCTCCAACAAGTACTATATCCCATAAGCGTATCCCCCTCCTCCCCCCAACTTAATTAACCGCCACCCCCGCCGCAGAACTGCTGTCTCGGCTGGGAACGACGTTGAAGTTGCTTGAGAGTATGTCGTCGATCATGAAACCGAACACAGGGTCGGTCGGCTCGTAATCTTCAGCATCGATGAAGGCGTCATCATGCTCGTAGTCTTCCTCTTCCTCCTCTACCACAAGCTGCTGTGGCTCGATCAGGTCCGGGGCCTGGTGATCCTGGTGGTCCGGCATGTCTATGTCCGCCTCTGTCTTGACGGCGAACATCGCCGACACCTTGCAGCTGCTGCTGACCCTTTTCATCGTGCCCCTGCCTTCCTCATCGCCTAGGCTGTCCTCCGATGCCGCGCTGGTGCTGATATCCCCGTCGTCGTCATCGAGATCCAACTCCTCCTCCTCTTCCTCTTCGTCCTCATCCATGGACGTCACTGCTGCCGCCGTCGCCGCCGCCGCCGCCGCAGCAGCGGCTGCCGCAGCAGCCTTCGACACGCCGCCGCAGCGCGCCTTTTTCGCCTTCCGTGGGGACCCCGCCTTACCGGTACTATTCCGCCGCCTGCTGCTCTTCCCCGCACCGCCACTACGACACCGTGTTGCCGTCGGGCGCGCAGCAGGGCTACCCCCGTCACCGTCCGAGCTATCGGACACCGATTCCGCGTCACCCCCGGTCTCCGCCTCGTCCTCGTCCTCGTCCTCCGGCCACGGTCCCAGACCGGTGACCTTGGCCAAGGTCTCCTGGTCCAGCCCCTCTAGCTCCTCCTGGGTCACGAAGCGGCCTTTCAGGCGCGGCCTCTTGTCCGCCAGCTTCTTCCGACAGTCGTACTTGATCTTCTTCCTCCAGATGCGCCGCCCCCGCTTGGCGTGGAACCTGGCCACCAGGGCCGCCCGCTCCTCGAGGGTGTACGCCCCCACGCGGTACGGGGCTCCGCCCTTCCCGCGTCGCCCCCCCCCTCCCCCGTACCGCCGGCTGTCCACCAGGCCAAGCTCCGCCGCCAGAGCCACCGTGTCCACGCCCCGCACGTGCCTGCGGCGCGGGGGGGGGGCTCCTGCGGTGGCGGACCCCCGCCCCTCTCCCGCTGCTTCCGCCTTGGCTCTACCGCCGCCACCGCCGGATCTGCTTCGACCTGGTGTTGCTGCCGGGGGAGCGGCAGCGGCGGCGGCGGCGGCAGCCTCAGCGGCGCTAGGGCGCATGCTCCGCGACCGCGTTCTGCCCAGGGTGCGGGAAGGCTGCTGCTGCGGCGGAGGTGTGGGGTCCCACTGTCTCTTCGCCGAGCAAGACTCCCTAAGCTCGAAAGACGGCGGGAGCGTCCGCTTGTTGGGACCCATGGGTGCCCCCCCACCCCCTCCCCCCCGGCTGAACGGGGACGGCGGGGCTGGTCGAGGCTGAGGCCGGAACTGCCCGCCGAAGGGATGCCCGAAGGTCGACTCCTTGACGCCGGACTCGGCCTCTAGCTTAACCTCACGCCTCGTGACATCAAGGAGAGCGCCCCCAGCATCGGGGGTCAGGGGCATGCCGCCGCCGCCGCCGCCGCCGCCGCTGACGCCTTGGTGCCTGAGGTCCGGGTCCGTGAGGGCGGTCAGGTCAAAGGAGATGCCTCGTTCGCGCTCCACCGTCCAGGTGATATTCTCGTTGCTCATCAGGTTCATCGGGACTGTTGTTGGAGCGGGCAAAACGACGAGCAAAAATATGGGGGGAGGGGGGTCAACGATTTTATCAGGTGATGATGTCGGGAAAAAATATGGGGGGAAGGGGGTCAACGATTTAATCAGGTGATGTTGTCGTTGCTCGTGGAGTTCGTCGGGACTGGTTGTAGTGGGGGTGCGGTAGGGCGGGGGCCCATGCATGGGAGATGGGGGGATGCACAACGGGAAACAAGACGGGGTGGTCGCGAGGCCGGGAAGCATGGCGCCATGGAATCCCGTGATACGTATTCCAGACGTATGCGTAGAAAATGCCAACAGAACATTGATCGGGGTGTGCCACATGACGGTACAAAATGAGCATCACATGCGAATGTTCTATCTCCTGTGACTCACATATTCTTTTTGTTTCTTGTGTAGTTTCCTCTACAGCATGCGGTGAGGTATATTCTCCCCCCGAAACACAATGTACAAAATACATTGGACTTATGAGGTCAGCGAATATCTTTCCTTTTTTTTCATTCCTGAGAGGAATCCCTTTATCTTCGTCGGCACCTGGCTCAGATCTGCCTCGAAGGGCACATGTCTGCTACTACACCGCTAAGGCATGATTAAAAACGGCTTAGAACCATTCCATAGAGGTGTAGTAGTAGTAGCCGAGATGGTTCTCCAACATAGGAACACCCAAGCCACGTGCCGACGAAAAAAAAAATGCCGTGGAGGTACAAATGACGACCAATGAAAAAGTAAAGTCCCTTGTTGACTCTATTCTCAAGAATTATACAAAATTTTAGGAATGTCGCAAAAATTGCGGTTTTTCGGGTTGTTCAATTTACGTGCTTTTGGGGGAGACATTATATATTTACTTTATAGACGAATGTAGACAGGTAATAACGAAAACAGTGTGACAGGCAAAGGACTCCCTTGTGGCCATCCCGGTCGGCCCCGACCTGGGTATCCAGAATTCGAACCCGGTGATGTAAAAAGACCGACGACGTCCAGCACAAGACGGCATGGCCGAAGAGAAGGCAGAAGAACAGGTGGGCTCCTACTCGATAGCACAGCAGTGTCCGAAATCTCCGGACGAGAATGCTCCAACGCTGCCATTTTTTGGCACCGTAATTGTTTTTGAAGCTTTGAATATTGGGTCAGGGGGTGGCATCTTACACAAATTACGGTAGACGCACGAAAAACTTGTAGCATATTTATAGTATGAGTAGGAGGATGGCTGAATCTGGTTTATTGTAACCATAGATCATCCGTAGGTTTATGAAATAAAGATGATGGACAAGGTTGGCAAGACACTGCATTAACAGAACAAGCCCGCTTGTTAGTCATTCCCAAGGACGAAACAACAAATCGCGACGTGTCTCCATAGTCCGACGTTCAACACACGTAGCCTGAGACTTGGATTTCTTTTTTTGACGAACTCTTGGTTTCTCAAGAAAATACGCCGCAACATTTGAGAGCAAGACCACTCGATCGAAGTAATACTCGGTTCGAAGTCCTCGTTGTGGTTGTCTCGACGTTCGAAACCGTTCCGGTCTACGCTTACCACGTTCTAGTATCCGTACTGGCCCAAACGACATGGACGTCTTTCGTTGTCACAACCGAAGCGTTCTGGGAAACACGCCGCAACGTCGGAGGACGGTTGCTGCTGGATCGAAATAATTCTGCGTTCGGAGGCCTCGGGTTAAAAAAAACACGCCGTAACACCAACCAAAGAGAGAACTCCGGGTCTCTTGAAAAAAGCACGCCGTTCGACGGGAGGTGTCTTGCTCGTTACAGAGTACAGTGGATTTGCTGGATCGAAAGTAGTTATTCCAAGCCTATAAAATCCAGGGATTTTTACTGTTGTTCATCGAGTACTTCGTAGAGTTCAACAAGCTGGTTGTTTTTCACCCTAGAAGTCTCCCGACACCACCTTTATTCCTGGTGTCACCTCGTTCGTTACCTGCAACTCGTGTCTGTCTCTGGAGACGAGCCGAAACGGATGCATTTTTTTTTTTTTTGTATTCACTTCAAATCAGCGCTCACAGCACCAGTGCCGTTTACTCCAACCCGTCGTCACACAGCGGTAGAGCCCCTCTCTACCCTCCCCTCCTGCGGTACGTTGCCTTCGATTTTCAATGCGAGAAGAGTTCAGCACTCTCTTTCCTCTGTACACACACGAACTAGCACTGTCCACTGATAGGCCAGGAGCGGAAACGAGAGAAAAATTCACTTTGAAAGAAAAGCTCGCTTACGCCGGGATTCGAACCCCTAACTTGACCTCTAGAAGGTTTCGAGGATACCAACTAGATCACCGGGGCGGCCGGTTTGCGTACCGATGTACGTTTCCCCTGGCAATCAACCAATCACTCACCAGTTGGCATCCATCTGGGTTGCAATCGGTACTGCTGCGATGCACGAAGGCATGATTAGGGTACAGCGGTACAGGGGTGCAGACGGAAACGGATGCGGGCAACCTCCTGGTGGCAACAGTAGGGCGAAAAATAAGGAGTATATTGTACTTTGTAATGAGTCAATGTCACCAATTCATGATGAGTTTCTCTCGTTCACTGTACCGGTCTATGCATACAGCAGCAGTATCATGAGAAAAAGAAAGGCTTCATTCACCACGTCAACAGCGGTGTGCGTACACTATCAGACACACTTTGACACCAGCTGGCAGGAGAGATAAGTGTATATCATGTAGGTGTATCGTTGACCAATAAGAGTACAGAGCTGCAAATATTTTGTGTCGGGATGCCCCCGGCCCGTCTGTCAGTGAGTTACGCGTGTTGGCGTGTGCATAGACAACTCTTGTCACAGGGTGCGTTTTTCCGTCGCCTATTGATTCGCTGATAATACCCTCTGTCTCTATTTATATCGAATGGCTTTTGCCTGCCCCAATCGAAGGGACATACACTGCCTGGTCGGCGGGAACCTGGCACGGAACCCTCCGGCGTTGTAGGCGGGTGTGGGAAGCGTTCCCCGTTCTCCTTTTATTTTATTTTGATCGGTCTCCTCGACGCTCTTTCTCGTTTGGTGCGGTAGCTGGTCTTTCTTTCTATCATTTTGTTTCTCTTCCGAGTGGTTTTTGTACCCTATTTTTTTCTGTTTCTTCGTGGGGTCGTGTATGCCGGGTTTTGAGACCACGGGCTCCCAATCTTTTTTTTGTTAGAGCTAATGTGAGAAACAACAACAACAAAACAACACTTACACTGCTATTCCGTTCGTAGTACACACTGAAAAGTGTAGTACTCTACATACGCTGAAAAGCGTAGTACATGTCTCACCACGAAAAATGGGGGGACTGTCGCCATGATAAATAGGACGAAAACACACACAAAAACACACACACACACACACACACACACACACACAGGGCCAATCGGTTGGGATCTCTGCGACAACGATAGTAGTAAGGGTAGTTCTTTTGGGAGTGACGAAGACGAAGGAAAGGGAAAGGGAAGAAAGGAGAACGACGACGACGATGAAGCAGAAAAACATGGAGGAGTGGAAGAGAACAAAGGGTTTGAGCCAGATGACCTTCCCCACAACAAGAAACGTAGGGCTAGGGAAGAACTGCCCAGAGATTCTTCTTGTCGACAAAATGAGGATCAGAATGATGGTGGTAGCGAAAACAAGGAGGATACTGGTGAAAGTACTCCTAAACGAACTCGAGTACTACTAGGTGGTAATAGCCTTGCTTGGTAGACGGGTGCAGTTTTCTTCTGTTGCTGCTGTTTCTGTTTTTGATCCGAAGGATAGCTTAGCCTCCCCCATGCTGCCCCCTCACGGGGTCCCAGTTCATGGTAGATAGAAGTGTTTTGTGTTTTCAACCGCACTAAGACTGACGTCTTTTCATTGGTCAGCCGGTTAGCGCGGTCGATGCTAATAATAAAAACACACATACACCACGCATACCCCTCGAGAAATAACATCGTGGAATTAATTTGTATGCTACGTGCTACGTAAGTAGTATACAATATGTACAGTATCCATACGTGTTGCAGCGCGAAGGACCATCACCACACCCTTGCGTGTTCAGCACCTCCCTTCTTCCCCTCGCTCCCCGACAAGCTTTTGCTTAGACATGGGTTGTAGCGAAGGGGGGGGTCTTTCTGGCGAGCAGGGCTAGACTCACCCTCAAGGGATGACCGAAACCTTCTTGCTGCTGCGCATCCGCCGCGAGGCGTGCGTGTGGTGGTGGAGTTGGGTCGGCACTGATGGGGTCAGGCGAAAAAATGTAGATGCGCGGGCCTCTGGCCGTCGGCGTAGGCAGCGATGCCCATCTCATTTTTTGTGCGCGGAGGCAGACACCGTCAGAAGGTGGACGGGNCAGACAGCAGTATGCTGTAGTCGGCAATCTTCCGTTTTGGTATAGAATGGGACAGGGAGGGGGTGATGCTACTGTAGTCGAACGGTGGGACGGACGTGCAGTTCAGTTTTTGGGCACGCATACGGTGCTGCAGGGATCTTAAGGTGTACCTCTTCGGGCTCTTGGATACCTTTTTCTCGTTATATGTGTGCGTGTTCTTTAGATCCTCAGATGGCTCTAGCGCTTTCGTGACCACGGGCTGAGAGTCTTTTGCTAGATTTTGGCATTTGGCAACTGACATACGGTTTAATGTGAAGACAACAACAACAACAGCCAGCGGTCACTGAATCTTCACGACTGATGCTGTTGCCGAGACTGGAAAAAAATCAACACTACTTGTGTGGGTCTAGGGCACATCATCTGTGTGCAAACAGCAGTGTTCTCGCTTGGGCAAAGCAATCAGCGCCCGCCCTGAAGATGTTGACAGTTTCAAGAATGAAGCGAAGGCCTACAAAGCTGTGTGAAGAATAGCTCCGCACTCTAAGAACTCGGGCACTATTTTGTGAACCGGCGAAGGACCCCTAACTGAAACCTAGAAAGCGGGCATATTGAAAATAGCTAAAAAGCACTAGGAACAAAGAACCTCCGCCTTAGCCAACACATGACTTTTTCGACGTGCGCTGACGATAAGAATCTCCTTCAAATTATGCATTCTTGTTACCTTGGAATATACTATTATGTTTTTTTCTCCTTCGCAAAGCAGAACAAGCCTATCGGTAACGAGGAGAAACGGGTGCAAATATGTGTGCATGCATGTACATAGATACACATATTGTCGTTGAAGTCCTCGGAAGTTCTTACAAAGCACGGGCGGGGGACGCAGCAGGCGCATCATGATCGATCGATAAAGGCGAAGGGATGCACAGGCTGCTTGTGAAGGCGTCAGGCAGCAGCTGGGTCACGAACAATCTTGTTGCAAGAGAGAAACGTAAATAACGGAACCGACTGACGACAGCACTCAGATATCGTGAGAGAAAAAGCTCTGCAGTGGAGATTTCTCGAGTAAAGCTCTTGTTGTCTATTAGGGTCCTTCAAGCAAAGCCGTAAACTCAAAAGAATCAGGTGGATGGAAAGTCGATCTTTGAGGAACTAATTGCCACACGTACACGACTGACGGTCAAGCAATGCATCCTCAATCCTTCTTCGTTTTGCAGACGAAACGCAGAGTAAACACACTCGATCTCTGTACACGAGTGATCACAGCATCCACGCTCAAAAATGCAAAGAGGCAACGTGTTGTGTACTACTCCGGAGTACAAATACCGCCGGTACGTCAGCCTGCATATTTAGCCGAAGTGTGAATCGATCAATGCCAGCAACAGGTGCCGCAGGCCGTAGGTGGTTAGATGGCGGCGCGTCGTGTATGTGGTGTCACGTCATCTTGAACGCGCATGTTTTGTATGAATCGTGGATTGCCTCTTGTTGTGTTAGATACAAGGAAGTATTACTTGAAAACTAAGACCCACCACGTGGCGCGGTTTCCCATGTCTGCTGGGCAAAAAAGATGAATAATGAAACCGGGATGCACGACGACGCCGCGGCGTCGGCCAAAGGTGTGGTCTCCTACACCCATGGGCCACGAGCAACAGCACTCAGAGCACTCTGCGACACGACACCCTTACTTCCTGAGGCAACATACACAGCCGCAGCGGCAAAAGCACCGAGCGTTAGATGTCTGTCTGTCCAAGTGCTGCAGGATTCGTATGAAATGCTGCGACCTTTCCACAAAAAAAAACTTCCTCTCGCTCTCGCATCATGCATGCATTTATCCGACGCCACGCCATGGATGTATCCTGGTGGCGTGGAGGGGGAAGGAGCAACAACGAGCCTGGGGCTAGGCCAGAACATGTCCTCGGAAAGGAAGCAGCCCCGCGTGCCGATTTTTCGGTCCAAGGCTGAGGCGATGTCGCGAAGCCCTTAACAAAGCGCATCACGTGCATGCGACGTCGGTTGACGCGTGGCAACGTTTCCGCAAAAAAAAGTGAAAATTCAACTTGCGACCGAAGAAGCGGCGAGCGCCGCCCAAATAAGCTCTTTGTCTGTTCGCGCCGTGGGGCATCGCTGCCGTGTGCAGCAAGAGCAGCTTGGGGGCCTGACCGACAAGCTCTTGGTGTAGGGTGGATTTGTATTGGGGCTGGCGACCGTGGTGCTCAAAAGCGAAAGCAACTGCCCTGTAACTACTGTTGCTGCCTGACCTGACAACGCCGCGCTGTTGTATGCTTTCCGTAAAAGGCATGATAAAAGAGCGAGGCGGCTTGCTGTGCATAACAACCCGCCATGACAACCGACCCCTGAGGCGACAAGCAAGCGTTGCGAATTCGACGCCGAGCGACAGGCATGCCAACACGCAGGCATGCTCTTGTGCCAAAGACAAGACTCACATCCATCATCGCTTGGTACCCCCAGGTCAAATTCGCGATCAATCTCCGATTCCACCTCGCAGAACGCCATTGCAGAGCACGCTCTAGTTGTTGTCAATAGATGTTAACGACCTGCTGCTGCTGAGATGGCCTTGGTCTTCAAATCCCCCTGTGTTTGCTGTCGATGTCGAATTCCTCTGGCCAGGGCCGGTTTCTCGATGTAGAGGCTTGAGGGGGGACAACGTGGGCGTGTGGGCGACGTCTGCGAGCTTCTCGCCGATGCTGCTGACAGCCCGGCCAGATTTGAGTGGCTGCGAGAAATGTGGCGCTTCCAACGGTTCATTTCAGCGAAAAGACGGACCAATTTTCCAGTGGCCGGGCCGTTCGCTGGAGGTGTTTCTATTTGGCGTTGAAGTTCACAAAAAGAAGGCATACTAAACTTAGAAAGAACCCCCAATTTTATCCAACAAACGAACAAACGCGTGCGCGAACACCAAGTGTCAGGCGTTGAGAGAGACAAACTGCTGTATGACTTATGCTGCATGGATACAGCAGTTCTCTGGTATGCAATAGTAGTGTGTAGACGAGACCATCGCTCCTACTGCTTGGAATATATATCTCCAGTTCGCGCATGGCATCGATCGCTAGATTGATTGCCGCATGTAGCATATGTCCAGACTATGCCTATCTGCATGTCTAGACCACGTAGGGAAATAACGGTTGATCCGTGTTCCCTTGTGCTTCATAGTTACAATTCTGCGCATCACCCTTGTTTCCGGGGACGACGCCCGTCGCCTCTTCTACACATACAATACACGCCTTATATCCTACTTGCTGTGGGCTCTGTCTGTTTGCGGGAAGTGGGGTGAGTGGTGAGACGGCCACCGCCGAAGCAGCAATGAGTTCTTTCCCGACGTATTTTGTAGATGTACTGCTGTTGTATGGATGTATGCATAGTAGTGTTACTGCTGTAGTAAGAAGGACCAAATCGATCAGCCAGCAGGCGATTCGGAACGATGACCACACGGGCTAGGCTTGTATGTGTTAGTGGTTGCTGCTGTGTGTAGCGGAAGGCAGGCCATGTCAACAACACGCATTAGTTGTTTGTACCATATGATCTGGGGATTTGTACATTTTCGCTGAGAATAATTATTTGCTCGACGCATCAGCTCGGTTGTGCACTTGCACGTAGAAGTAGAAGAGTAGAAGCAAAAGCACACTCCGCACGCCGTCACCCTCACCTTCCGAGCTCATTGATTGGCTGCATTTTGCACTAACACTATCTGCCTGTCAGTTTGCTGCAGAATAATCGCCCATCCCACCACATCATCGCGACGAGGAGCCGGTGGGTCCTTGTTTTGCTCTCTTGAAGTACGATGATAGTAAATACGGCTGTTGGGCACTTTCTTTTGATCGGATGAAAAATGAACGAAAAACGGCGGCTTCTGGAATCAATCGTAGAAACAAAGGCAGGCACACAGCAGTCTATGCATACAGTGCTCCTCTGAAAAGCTATGATTTCACGAACGACTTCCAATCGTGGAGCCTTTCTTCATATATTAGTTCATCATGGTGTGGAGGTCAGGATATGGAGATGCATGGAGCACAGATACACGTGCTAAAAGAGTAGGATCTGAGGGAATATGTGATAACAGATTACCGTTCTCCGAGGGTCCACAACTCTTACTCTTGTGATCCCCAACGGCTGCGAAGAGTTGATGAATCTTTAGAAGATTGGGAAAATGGGTCCACGAAGGTTCGCCCACTCTCCACACCACCCTAGCTTGACTGAGTTCACTCAGTCACGCTTGGCATTCCTCGGCACATTGTACCAAAGGAATACAGCCAACCTTCGGTGGCAGGACATAGCCACCACAACCCTGGACTCTCCGCTCACCCAGACAGCAGAGTAGAGGGCTCCATAATGGGGGGAGATGGATTCATCATGTTATACCGGTCGCCCCGGTGGTCTAGTTGGTAACCTCGAAACCTTCTAGAGGTCAGGTCAGGGGAAAAAACACGATAATCCGTTCATGTCATTATATTATTGCGAATCAATATATATATACCAATTACCTTTTATCACTCACTCGTTTTTACTCTACTACTCATCACGCCGGCCACATCATGCAGGAGGGACGGACTGGCTGACACAAAATATAATATCGGCAAGTGTCAACACCTTGACAGCATGAACACACCGCCTCGTTGTCCTGTTTGCTCCGTTACTCTCATGCCCTGGTGCGTAGTGCCTGGTGTTGGTACGTTACCCTTTGATTTTTTCTTTGGGCGGGTGTGGGAAGCGTCCTCCTTAATTTTTTTTTTTCTTAATATGACACAACGAGTCCATCTCTATCATTCTCCCTTCTTCCCCTCGCTCCTCGACAAGCTTTTGCTTAGACATGGGTTGTAGTGAAGGGGGGGGTCTTTCTGGCGAGCAGGGCTAGACTCACCCTCAAGGGATGACCGAAACCTTCTTGCTGCTGCGCATATCCGCC